AGGGGTTCCTCTCTTGCAGTCCCACGAAAGCCCACCGCCACCCATCCGTTCTGAGAGACCGCTTCACTGCCCTGAAGACTTCTGCCCTCGTAAGATGGGCTTGCCTTGCTCTAAGTGTTTTGCCTTGCTTCGTTGCCGCCCTGAGTGTCGTCTCCTGCTCCTTCCTCAGAGGGGCCGGGCCCTCCCAATGGCATGCCAAGGCACGGCACCTGGGGGTGTGTGTGTCGGGTCTGCCACGCCATCAGCGTTTCCTGTTGCCCACGACTCATCTTCCCAGAAGACATCCGAAGGGGCTTCTTCCTTGCCTCCCTCTTCCTCACTGCCTGCTGTTTTGTTTTGCAACTGAATCAAAGGACTCACATCACTCCAAATGCAGTGGGAAGCAAAAACTTTTATTAGGATGAGAAAGCGAAGAAAGGCAGGCTCGGTGTACCCCCCCTGCATGCGTCCAGACGCCGATTCCTGTGTGCACAGGTCTGCGCGCACCCAGCAGCTCGGAAGTGACAAAACGACAAAGAAGCATAGAGAACCCCAAAGAATGAAGGGTGAGAAAGAAGCCCCCTCATCCATCCACTTGTGCTCAAAATCAAGTTTGTGTTTGTAGGGAAGGAACAAGTTGAGATTTGAAGCTGTTTGATTTGGGGGGGGGGAACCTGGAGGATCTTGGTTTGACCTGAGTCTTCCGTTTCACCTTACACCTCTCCTCCTCGACTCAAGCAGACAACACAAGCAAGTCCTGTGGGGACAGAAAGAACCAGGAAGGATTTAAGCACACACAGATAGACACAAACTTCAGTCCCTATTGCTGTGACAATGGGGTTTCGTCTGGCCTTCCCTGTAAGTAAACTAACCGTCCCACCGGCCTGCTCTTCTTATGACTTCATCTGTCCAAAGCAGCATCTCTGAAAAAAGGGGAACTGGGAATGGAAGACTAGGATGACCCTCCTTGCAGATTGAATCCCGACAGCTTTGCATCACCCCAGCACCCCTGGACACGAGGTCCCCCTAAAAGCTCACCGTTCCAGCTCCCCCAGATTGGCACTCTTAACCCTTCGGCTCTTCTAACCCTGCCTGATGTGTTTTGTCTACAGATGGAGGTGGTTCTGGAAAGCTGCTGGATCTTATATTTTCAACCACGAGGGCACAGCGAAAATTATTTTTGGGGATTTGTTTCCCTCCCAGCAACATTCAAGAGGGTCTTGAGAGCCACCAGAAAGCATCCAGGCCTCTGGAAGGGGCTGCACGGGACGCCTGCCGCAGCATCCTTCCTCCCCAATCAAGACTGTAACCAGATGTTAATCTCAGTGACTTGAACATCGGCCAGGTTTTTCCTCCTTTGCACTCATTTTTCAGGGATTCCGCCCCCTTCCCCCCCCCCCAGGAAGGAGCAAAGCTATATAGTGGTGTGTTAGCCTATTTCATGCACACGACAGCATCTGCCACTACAGCACAGTGCGCCCGTCTGTGTCCATTAAAATAAGGCATCATTTTAAAGTCCCCCATCCCTTAATCTGAGCCAACCCCCGTGCCAGATCATGAAGGCTTGGCAAGGGCAGGTCTCCTGGCACGTCTGGATATTACACACTTACTTCAATGACATCAATGTCAGCATTGTCGAAATCAATGCCCAGCAGCTTTGGCAGAGGGACCCCTCCACCCAACACACCTGCAATCAGAAGGAAGACAGGCTTAGTTCTCTCATCTCGAGGGTTCCCTGCGCCCCATGTTCTCTCCTCTCCCACCAAATTCTACAGAAGAGGAAAGCAACCTTTCCACAAACGCACATGGACCAAGTCATGGATCTCAAGGGTGTGTGAGAGAGTATGTGTGTGTGTGTAACACTGCAAACGGTGCCTGCTATATCCACCCCACGCCAGGTCTCTTGAGCAGAGGTGCACCACTTTTCCAAATTGCGCAGCAGGCCCGTGCCTTTCAAATTGCGTTGGACTACAAATCCCATTGCCCCCAACTAGCCTGGCCCATGGCCAGTTAGAAGTGATGGGAAGTTCAGCCGGACATCTCTGGGAAGGGAGATGTTGAAGGAAGCCACTGTGTGGTAGCCATCCTTGCCCAGATTGAAACTAAATGGGTCCTGCTCCAAACTGTCATGGGAGTTGACTTGGGGAATGAAAACAGAGGTCGGGGTAATAAAAGGAAGCATTTTGCACAGTCTTACTGTTCATGGCTGGTAGGAAAGCGACATCAAAAATCTTGCCGACCAGTGGCTCCATTAGGGAGACCTGCATGGATGAGAAAAATGGTTTAACGGTCTTCTCACAACCAAGATCTGGGGATGCGGGAGGGAGAGGGGAGAGCCCGGATCCGAACTTCACCTGCTTTTAAGGCTCTCTCCAGTCTCAACTGAGTGTGGGGCTTGCCAATCGCCCTTGACACGTTATTGCCCTTGGTGAATGGCAAAAATTGCTGTTTGGTGTAATGCTTCCCCAGGGACTAGACAAGCATTTATCTTTCTTGTCTCAGAGCCAGAGTTGCAAGAAGTGGTAACAGCGCTTCTTAATCTCGCTTGGTGCTTGTCAGGTCATACCCGAGGTTTCAGAAAGGATATAAAGCAAGCCGTCATATGTGACAAATTCACAATGAAATAAGCGGCACAAAATTGCGCAATAAATTTACAGGAAATACAGCCCATCAAAAAAGGTGCTGACATCAGAATGCCGTGTGCAAATGAGGCAAAGCAGAAGTTCAGAACACGTGCGTGACAGGATCACAAAGGCTGAAATCCTGTCGCACTCCTACACAAAGGGCATAGGTTTCGGAGGTGAAATACCTCAAGTTAAGAAATCTCTGTGGATGGTATAGGTTTCACAATGAGTCGCGTGGCTTGCTGTACCCCAAATTAAAAAAATAATCTATGGAGACTTTTTTAACTTGAGGTAATTTGCCTTCCAAAGTGACACCTTTTACGTAGCAATGGAAGAGGATTTCAGCCACTGATTCACACACCGGAAAGTCAAGGTCAGCAGGAGTTTGCTCTTTTATTTTATTTTATTATTTTATCTATCTATCTATCTATCTATCTATCTATCTGTCTGTCTGTCTGTCTGTCTGTCTGTCTATTTTTGCTTCCTGTTCGTATGAGGGGCACAGAGACATTTTAATCCCTCTGCAAGAGGTCGAGGAGCTTTGTGGCACTCTCAAGAAGAGAATGAGGATTATTACTATTATTACTATTTTGGGATACGCTAAGCAAAATGGTGCAAATGACACAAATCATGAAATAATGTGAAGTGCTGCTTTGTTGCCCAGACTAGGGCCCTCAGAGGGGTTGTCTGGATCTTCTCAGACAATCAGGCAGGCCTTTTGCACTTGTCCTGTGTGTGTCTGTTTGTGTTTGTGCATGTGTGCGTCTGAAATGGAAAAGACGGCCATTTTGCATAGAGACAATTGCAGGCATTAAAGAGAACTTTACAAGGGGGAAAAGGGGCACCTTCTCTCTCTCTCTCTCTGTCCTGGAGGTCAGGAACCTCACAGGACTGGACCGTTCCCCATCAGGGTCGCTCATGGGGTCAAGACAGCCAAACCCAAGACTTCCGCTAGCCTTCTACGCCTTCCTTTGGTGATTGGTCTCCTCTTGGCTCCTATCCCTCCTTCTTCCCCGGCTCTAGGGTGAGAGGGAGGACAGGGAGATAGCCTCATGTTCTGGCTCGGTTCAGAGATCAGCGGCCTCAATTCTGCAGGAAGACCCTCCAGTCCTTCCCACCCATCCCGGTGCTCAGCCACGCCGCATTCTTACGTACATCAAACTTCCCAAAGGTCGAAGAAGCCAGCGTGATGTCGGACCTGTGGGTGCAAGAAGAACAAACAAAAAGGATTCACACAGAACCCATCAATCTGAAGACCGTGTCCTGACCCTATCCTGGGGGCCCTCCATGACCACCCATGAGGTCCCCTCAGCCAGTCTGAGCAGCTCCACAAGCTGGATCCCCATTCTGTCTCTCTGGCCCGAGACCTCTTGCCCCAGTTCTGTGGTAAAATGGGACTTTGGAGGCAGAAAGGCACACACACACCCAATGGCAAATCTCCACTGACTCTTCCATCTGCCCGGGTGCTCCAGCACCACATGAACGCAGTCCACCCCATCCAGACCTTTAGGTTTCCATATTCACGATTAAATCAAGCATTTGCTCAGTTTTAACCCAGGGAGACCCGGCATTCATCAAGAAGAGTCTGAGGCGAAACTGTGGGATTTGCTAGTACCTCAAGAGGCAAGCAGGGTCTTCAGTCCCAGATGGCTTCAGGAGGAGAATTACGGTAGGTGTGCAGAGGCACCCACCTCCCTCTTGCGGGCTTTTCCTTGGGACTCCCACCTGAGCACTCCCGGTTCAGGAGGCTGGGCTAGACGGATGTTTGGCCTGATCCAGAATGGCTCTTCTTACTTTATTACAGAACGTGATGCTTCGAAAGGTTCCTTTGCTTCCCACTAACTTAATTTTTCTCGGCTGCCTGAAGATTTTGGCCTGGCTGATATCTCTTGTGCTTGTGACTGAATGCTTCATAAACACAAACACAGGCACTCACACAGGTACACGTGTGTGTCCTTATATGTGTGTATGTGCGTGTGCGTGCAATTTGAAGGCATCATTGTTTTTAAATTTAGGCATGTGTGCTTTTTGCAGTAGAAATGATAAATGATTACATACAGAAGGGAGGATGGGGGAGGAGGGAAGGGGATGCACTTCATCTTTCCAGCCTATTCGACTCCCTCTGGTGAACGCAAACTCCTAAGAGGCGCCCAACTTACTTCTCAAGGCTGACACTGATTTTCAGCTTGTTGTCGTCAACAGAAAACTTGGCCAACAAAGAGCTCTCCTAAAAGGAGAAATTGAGAAGTGGGTTACCTGGACTTTCCTGCAAATGAGCATCTCCTCTGCCTCCCCTCGAGTCTCAGTCATGATTGGACCCACTAATTAGGACCCATGTGTGTGTGGTTTTGCACATGATCAAGAGGGATTTTTCTGGGCTGGGGTGATGATCTGTCTCTCCAGCGCTAACCAATCATTCCTTCCAGCCTTTGACATTCAAAGAGAGGCCCATGTCTCTCCAGTGAGTCTTCTCTCTACCCCTCTCTTTTGTCCATTGGGGGCAATTGTTTCTTGGTGTTGATCTGTTCAGTTAGTTGCTAGTACGTGTGCAGTAAAGAAAGCATTCAAGAAATTCAACAAAGTACGTTAGTTGCTAGTATGTGTGCAGTAAAGAAGCATTCAAGAAATTCAACAAAGTAATTCTTGAAATTCAAGCAAGCTGTGATTTCAAGAAACTAAATAAAAATGTTTTTTTATTCTTTCATCTTCAAATGTCTCAGAGTGTGTGATTGAGAAGATGCCAGTTAGTGAGAAAGGGGTGGACTGTCTGGAGAACTTGTAGCTATTTGTGAATCTTTGTACAGTACTTCTACTGTGTTATCAAAAGGAGAATTTTATCAGAAATTCAAAACTCTGCAACAGCCCCCTCATGCATCTAATAAGAATGCAGGGTCTCCTTGCGCCATGCCATACAAGGTGGAAGTAGAGGGGCCAGTTCCAAGAGGACTCTGCATTCTTATTAGATGCACGAGAGGGCTCTTGAGAGTTTTGCCTGTGTTAAAGAAATAGCAGCTGTATCTGTTAAACTATAAACACAGCAAAATTTCTCAGGTGGAGTCAAAGAAATAAACCTTTCATCCTGAAAAAAAGAGTTGTGGAGAATAAGTCCGGGGTCCAGTCTACCCGGATGTGCGGAGATGGTAGCGTGGCACCATCTTCATAAACCACATTGGGACGGCCAATCAAGAACAGGGCCGCCATGCATTGACCAAAGCTTGCACGATCTCTTCCTGGAATTTATTACAAAAAGTGACCTTGAAAGATGTCCTCCAATGGAAGTTGGCCACTGCATGTCTGATTTTATGTGCCCAGAACCTATGCCAATGGTAGGCACTGAGCTGGCACCGAGAAAGATGGCCAGGATGGGAGCCCGGCCGGGGGGGGCGGAATCTCTGTCCAGCCAGATGGGAGAGGTAAAAGATTGGGCAGGATTTTCACAAACAGCTGGTCCATCAAGGGAAAGAAAGCAATGGGAAGTTCTGGGACAACGGGAGGCTCTGCAACAGCAGCTGTTTCTGAGGATGTTGAAGACTCACAATGTTTATGGTGAAGAGAAGCTGGTGGCGATCGTCAGGCTTGGAGGCCAGCACTTCCGCGATCGCCGTGAGTTCAATCAGGCCCTTGTCCTTCTTCAGCTTCACTGTTGGCACCTCTGGGACCGACACCTTCAGCAGTAGAGGCCGGGGCTCTGGGAACAGCTGGAATATCTGTGGGTCAACCCGGGAAAGAAGAGGGGAGAGCCGCATCAGCCTCCATCCAGGACCTGCCGCTCCAAACAGAAGCAGCCTCTTGGGAATCACTGCTATGAACCCCTGACTCTACCCGAAGGAGGAACATTTCAGGAAGGGGAGGAGGTGCCAGTGGTCAAACTTCACAGGGTCCCCGCTTGCATCCTATAGCCCAGGAGCAGACAAGGGCCAAAAGTCCAGAACAGAAGCCCACATCTGGACACGGAGGGGAGGCAGCTGCTTATGTGCATTCAACACACCTCCACTTATTTTTTCTATTTTAAAAATCCCCTTTATGCTTTTTAGTAGGTGCGTGTAGTGGGGAAGAATTTCACCAGGGTTTTTAAAATATCCCTTGTTTTATTTCCTTGTTTGACACCCAGATGATTCCCTTTTTTAGAAAAGAGGTGATCAGAGGTTTATTTCTTTAAAATATTTTTACCTGGCCTTTCTCCTTAAAAGGGACCCATCCTTGAAAGACAATATTTAAAGCTGGAGACAATGAGTAGGCAATGGTGGTTTACATCATTAAAGCCAATGTTTAAAGCTAAGAATAGTGAGTATAAAGAGGCTGCTTACATCATAAGAAGACAATATTAAAGTTTAAAAAACAGTGTATACAAGTATTAAAAAGGAACAAATACCACTCTGAGACACAAGCAGTACTGAAAACTTAGTCAAAGCAGTAATAATGCATAATAATCCATCTGAAAATCTCACTCAGGTAGCCAGACCCTGAGGGAAGGCTTTCCTTAAGAGGAATCGTGCCCAGCTTTGGAAAAAGATCCTCACCAGGCCTATAACAGCTCATGAGCATCCAAAACATGGCAAATTCACTTCTAGGGAGGGGAAGGGCGTTCCTTTTAGGATGGATGCATAGAGAGTCATGTATGGGGTTACCTCTGGGGGGAAGAAGCCACCGTTAGGCTCCCAATGTAAATATGGTTAGTTACATTTTCTCTTCCTGTCCCACTTTGGTGGCAGGAATAAGGAGAAGTTCTGCCTGGACCTCTAAGCTTCATTTTTATTTTTAAAAATAGCAATTGGCTCTCGTGAAATACTCCACAGTGCATTTGACAAGTTTTTTCATAGAATGCTGCTTGTATTCCCAAATTTGCTCGCCAGTTTTCATCACACCGAAGTGCCCTTTCAAAGTCAATTTGAACAGCAGCACATACTACAGTTTTAGGCATGGATGAAGCAACGTGGGCTCACCTCGGGAATGAGAGCTCCCAGCGTGGACGTGGTCAGTGGAGGAAGCTCAGGGAACTGGAAGAAGAAAAACAGACACATGCAAGAGATGTACGAGGGCATTCCAGTGCTCTGCTTCTTATTTGTCCTTTGGGTCATCAAACCAGTTCCAATTTATGGTGAAATTTTTTTACCCTAAAAACGTTAGCAGTTGCAGCTGTGTTTCCAAGGTGTATGAAATATTTAACTGCCACCAAATGAACACCTCCACCCACCCCATTGATTAACAGAGATTTGGGTCATGTCTTCTTATCCGCAATCTGACTCTTATTTGCTCAATACAGAGGGCTTCATCTGCACAATGGTTTCCCCAATTTGAACCCAGAGCTTGGTTTTGTTGATTTGGTCACTAACTCTTAGCCTGTCATCTGCAGGGATCCTGGGAAGTCTTTGGGTTGGAGTCAGAGTCTTTGGTACCAACCCCAAGTCCAGGTGCCTATTAAAAAAACTCCCCCCACAAAAAAAGAGGGAGGGATGGGTGTTATCTGAGTCAAAAGTTGAGTTTGAGTCATTGGAAAACAAAACACACCATGAGTTGAGTTAGTGGTGTGATTGAAGTCCAACTTGACCGTGTTTCCTGCAACTCAAGTTCTCCATTCCCGGTAACTTGACTCAAAGGGATTGCTTTTCAGCATAGACAGAGGGCTTTTCCTTTCGACTGGAGAACAACAGTTAAGACACTGTAGTTTTGGGATGAAGTGAAGATAGTTGCTTCCATTTTAGAAGGGAAGTCTGGTGGGCAGGGGACCTTCTCTGTTTGGAAATCAAGGCTGTTAGTTCCAAAAATTCTAGATTTCCACCCCGGCTTCTATTCGTCCTGGCTCAGAGGTGACAAGGGTACCAGAGAACTTACTTCCCCAACTCACCATCCCATATGAGATGACAATGTCCAGAGCACCATCTTTCTGCAGGACAGCAACGACTGACCGGAGGAAGTTCACAGAGAGTCCCATCTGGGAGTTGCTCTTTTCTGCCATCGGGGGCAAGGGAGGGACGGGCACTCTTGCTGGGAGGGGGACAACCTCCGGCTTGCCTAGCGGATAGTCAAGGAGGGGACCGGCCACTTGCCCAACGATCGCCTGGAAGAAGGAAGGGACACGGCTTTTGCAGGACCCAACAGTTTTCCCATAATCAGCAGGGTGTGGGACAAGAGGACCCTTGGGGTCCCTTCCAACTGTACAGTTCAACCATTTTCAAAACTCCAATAAATGTTCGGCAGGAAGTTGACATTCAGCTATGAGCCTAGTCAAGAAAGGATTTGGGGCCGAGGGTGGATCTGATAAAGAATGGAAGTATCACTGATCTCATCCTTCTGAAGACGGGGAGTGGGGGAGGTTATCAGTTAGGACTAACAGAACACAATGCACCTGAGCTCAGACGGAGAGTAGAGAGTTGTGGATTAAGCACATCCAATCAAGGGTAAGGATGTGTCACTGGAGACACTGGCACATCACAACAACAACAGCAGCAAAGGTCATGTGCCACTTTGCGCAGTCAAGCGCTTTCTCTTGTGATGCTCTTTTTAGAGGAGCTCAATTCAAGTTCTGCTCCCATGCTACAATGTAATAATATGCAATATATAATCGTAGAACTACACAGCTGGAAGGGACCCTCTGGATCATCAAAGTCCAGCCCCTGTCAAGGAGGCACAGAGGGGGGAATCAAACTCCCAACCTCTGGTTCTGCAGCCAAAGACCTCAACCCCTGAGCTATCCAGACGTTCCAGTCATGGTGGAGGCTGGCTCAGATGAGTCAAAGACAGCAACGACAATTTCCTGCTCCTCGTTTGTTCAGACAGTCAATGCTGCTGCGGGAGGCACGGCACAGTGCCATCAAATCCCATCACCACCAAAATGGACTTACATTCAGGTCAATCTCTAGAAACTGGCCTGTGACCAATGGAAGGCTGGAGACCGTGTACTGGATGCTTCCCAGTAGACCCAGAGGAACCAGAGCTGTAGGGAAAGGAGAGAAGAAGAGGGGACATCCGGAATGTTTTTCACCGCTCTGTAAATGGCTATCTTTTCATGCTCTCTTGGCTGAGCCACAGAGCCAGGGAGTGGGTGCCAAGGAACTGGAAACCATTGGACCTGAGCTGAAATCCATTAGCCACAAGTTCTCCTAATCAATAGGTTGTCTAGTTATAATGCATCACAATGCATTGTTGGTGCACATTTAGCACAGCCTTCTGTCTTTTTGATGGGGCAATTTGTTGCCTCCTCATCCTCATTTATATGTTTATTTTAGCGATGCTGCCCTACTGTTTTCTTATTCCACCCATTCACGCTATCCACTCTATTCCTTAATGTTCCACCATGGAGGGAAACAAGAAGGAGTTTTCAAAGAAGGAGAAGACAGAAGCAGGGTCAAAAACTTACAGTTCACAAGGCCGAGTTCGTCATTGACAAGACCCAGGACAACGTCTAGGACAGGACAAAGCTGGAAGAGGTGTGAAAAAAAAAACACATTTTCAAAATAACAAAAGCAATTGTGCTAGCAGCCATTCCTTTTCTCTCTGTTATCAGGTCAGGAAATCTGATGCCCAAGCATCATCCTAAGAGGCTTGTAGCCCTTGATACAGTAGACCGATGTTAAACTTTCATTTTTGAAAGGCATACATATTTTTTCAGGCTGTTTTTCTACATTCCCTTAATTATTTTAACTCCCTATATATTCAACATTTCACATCTTGAAACCATGTCGTTTAAACTTCATCAAAGTTAATTTAAGGGAAATTTTCTGGCCTCCATATCGAAACACAGTTACACACAGTTCTTAAGGGCATCGGTCAAGTGTACAAGTTCCCAATGACTTCAGTGGAGATTTGGCCTAGCACATGCATAGCGGGCAGAGCTCGCTCTACCAGAATAACAGAGGGCCAAAGCTTAATTTCAAACCCTTTAGTTGCAGATGGATATGGAGTTCTCAGACATGGTGGATATTCTTAACTCTTCCTATGACTGGAAATCACTCTCAAGACTGTTTGCAAATTGTAATTTTGGCCCCGGGTCAGAAATAATTTAACATCACTGGTTTAGGACTTTAGGAAAGACAATCCCAACCTGACTATGTACATGTACAACACTTAATGTGGGTACTTTGGTAACAACATTTTTATAATGTAGTATACTCAATTGTGTTCTAATAATATATATTTTTAAAAATTATATTTTATTGCATTAAAATATAATAAAATACTAAAAAAGAGAATGTTTTTAATTGCATTCTAAAAATGTAGGAGCTTATAACCTAATAAGGTACAATCAAAAAGGAGAGAATACCTTTCTAAAAGACATCACTAAAAAGTAAGAAAGCATTATAACTTTGAGTAATCTTTAGGGTAATCTTTAACTCTTAAGCATATTATAGAAATATAGAATAACTGAGTTGGAAGGGGCCTATAAGGCCATCAAGTACACCTCCCCTTGCTCAATGCAGGAATATTATAGCAGTCACACACAGAGAAAATTACTCTAAGTGCTCACCCAGCCAAACCAATTTGAATCTAAAAAGTGTGTTGCTTATATACTGCCCATAGTGCTTCAAGCACTCTCTGGGCAGTTTACAAGTTAATTCTGCCGGCTTCACATTGCCCCCCTGCCCAGCGAGCTGGGTACTCATTTTACTGACCTCAGAAGGATAGAAGGCTGAGTCAACCTTGAGCCGGCTACCTGGGATTGAACCCCGGGTCGTGAGCACAGTTTTAGCTGCAGTACAGCGGTTTAACCACTGCACCATGAGGCTCTTCCGTCACTTCCTTTAACCACTGCACCATGAGGCTCTTCTATCACTTCAAACCTGCAGAGCACTTTTGGTGAAGTTAATCCTCCAAAGGTGGACATGGGAGCTGCAGCCCAGAGGGAGACACTAGAAGGCTTGGAATGCCCTGCTTACCTCTTCCCATTGAATCTATGGAGGAAAATCCATGTTGTCCTCATCTGCTGTTGTTGTCATTGCTACATTATGCTACGTATAGACTTTAGGAAGAGACTCCCTTCCTGCTCTACATGGGTGCATTGAGCAGGACTTGATGGCCCTATAGGTGCCTTCCAACTCAATTATTCTATTTTTCCATGATTCTATGATGTGTGTTATGAAGTGGGAGGAGACCTTTCTGTGTCCTGGTGCTGTTTATTTCCTTTCTTGAACCCCCACCCTATAACCTGGATCAAAGTTGCCAACACTTACCAGATCAGGAAGAAGTCTGTTGAGAACACGTGCTAATAAATTATCCACAATGGGGAGTAAGCTGAGAAGGAAAGGAAAAGACAAGAATTACCAACAAGCTGAAGAAGGAGAGACTCTGGGTGACCAGCAGAATCTATTAAATGGCTCTCCAAATAGGGGAAATGTTGGCCAAGAACTTGGATGAGGCCTCCGAATTTTGCTTGCTGATGGGGCCGGGTGGCCTTTAGGAAGTTGCTGCTTTGAACTGTAACTCCCAGAATCCTTGTGGCTCAGGATGATGGGAACTGCAGTCTTTACAAGTCACATTTCTAAGATGTGCAGCGACCAAACCAGCAAGATAGCACTGGCAACATAACCCACTCTCTCTGTGGATCTACAAATGCGTAAGTAGAACTTTTTGAGTACACATAGTTGGATGAGGCTCACCCTCTCAGGAGTCTAATTTTAATGCCTCCAAGGAGAGTGTCGCAGTGATCAATCACGAGCTTGGGGTAGCTGACACCGTCCATCGTTAGCCGGACAATGGCCGTGATGTTCACCTCCACTGCGATGTCCAGCAATCCGAGGAGGCTGCATTGGAAGGGAAAGGAATGGCCTGGTGAAGCTTTTCCCACCAAGCTTTCAAGCTGGATTTGTGCTCCGTCGCTTCCACCCTGCAGAGCCCTTTCGGTGAAGTTAATCCTCCCAAGGTGGACGTGGGAGCTGCAGCCCAGAGGGAGGCACCAGAAGGCTCGGAATGCCCTGCTTACCTCTTCCCATTGAGTGCTACCCTGGTGTATAAATCCAGGTGAATCCCAATGCCAGGTAAGAGCTTCAGGTTTATCTTGGGAAGAGTCAGCTCCACAATTCGCAACCTGCAAGAAAGAAGCAGGAAATGAGTCCCTAAAGGGAATACTCCCTCTTTCTAGGAACAAGAACCAACAGCGACAACCTAGACATGGACCCCTGCAGGGTGTAGATCAGGAGGGTGAGGCAGAAATATTTTGATTGCTACTGAAGGGCCTCTGACAGCCCACTCTTCTCTGTGTAGGCCAACGGTGAGCTCTGTATCTGGGTCACAGAAGAAAGTGAAAGCCGCTTTTATATAGGTCTGGGTAAATGCAGACATTTAGATTCCTGCCTTGAGCAGGGAGTTGGACTCAGTGGCCTTAGAGACCCCCTTCCAAATCCATTTTTCTATGATTCTATGGCTACATACTGTATTATTTTACCCAGGCTTCATGCTCTGGAGAGGACACTCCAGCTTCGCATACAGGGTCGAATAGACGCTGTTCCAAGTCCTCCATACAGAGCATGTTACCATAGTCTCTTGAGACTGAAGGATGCATATGAATAATTATTATTAATTATTATTAA